TCGTAAAAAAATGAGTGCAGCTTTCCTTTTAAAATTTTAGAGATTTTTGAAAAATTCTCATTTTCCTTAAATTCAGTTCACTTTTTGCACGAGAAAAACGATTTCTTATGAGGTAAAGCTAGCATAAATGAGCTAGCATAAGTGAGCTAGCATAAATGAGCCAGCATAAGTAAGCCAGCATAAATGAGCTAGCATAAATGAGCTAGCATAAGTAAGCCAGCATAAATGAGCCAGCATAAATGAGCTAGCATAGGTAAGCCATCATAGATTAGCTAGCATAAGTAAGCCAGCATAAATGAGCTAGCATAAATGAGCTAGCATAAGTGAGCTAGTGTTTGCTAAAATAGATGATTCAGAAAAAATAATTAGATTATATTAGATCAAAATTTGCCTTAATCACAAATTTTCCCTATTTAAAGTACTTGATTTTTGGGTTTTGAATGGGACGATTCCTATTCATTTGCCTATTCATTAACCGATTAAAAACTTGTCTAAGGGCTGATGACTCAAAAAGTAACCAAGTCGACTTCAGCTGAAGGAATCTCTTATTATTCTGATTAAATCATTTACCTGAAGCCCACTCTGTTTTTTCTGTCAAAAAACTTTTTGAAATATAGTCAAGTTTATCGAAGAATTGATGGCTTGGCTTTGAGAGCTTTGGCTTTTGAGAAGCTTTGGCTTTGAGAGCTTTGGCTTTGAGAGCTTTGGCTTTGAGAGCTTTGGCTTTGAGAGCTTTGGCTTTGAGAGCCAAAGAGAGCCAAAGCTTTGGCTTTGAGAGCTTTGGCTCATCGTGTAAACTTTTCCCGAGAACTTTCCTTTCAAAACTAATAAAATAATAAATAATTCCTTTCCAGAACGCCTCACCAAATACAGCATACCGGCTTTGGTAAGGAAAGCTTTTCTTTTCTCAAAAATGTTTTTAGGAGGAGACTTATGTTGGATTGAAATTTTGCCCGATTCCTAAAACTGGAACCACTATCACGCATACAATTTTATGTGATATTTATCGAGAATACCGAGGAATTCCTTTTAAGAGAGAATACTCTTCGAAAAAGACTGGAAACACGTAAGTGAATTCGGAAATTTATCTTTTAAAGAAGTTTTTAAGAAACTTGAAGTGTTTTCAAGGTTTTTGTGAAATCTAATGATTTTTTTTTGCTTTTAAGTTTATTTAAAAGATTGATGTCATGTTTCAGAGTCTGTGAAAACAATCGTTTCTTCCCATACCGAAGAAAAGCTTTTTGGGCAAGACCAGCGACACCAATAAAATTCACATTAGTCCGTGATCCTGTCCAACGATTCGTCTCACTTTATGAACATTTCTGCGAGTAAGTTTTTGAAGTTAAGTTAGAAGTTAGTTAGAAGTTGAGTTAGAAGTTCGTTATGAAGCTGAGTTAGAAGTTAGTTAGGAAGTTAAGATTGAAGTTAGTTAGAAGTTAGTTAGAAGTTAGTTACAGGTTAAGTTAGCAGTTAATTATGAAGTTAATTTACCCAGTTATAAACAAGATAAGCTAATCTTACAATGAGCAAATAAAAAAGTCATTTGACCTTTAGAATTTGGGATTTTAGGCTAAAGGATCAAATCTTTTTATAAATATTTATCATTTGAAATATTAGAAGTTATCAAGAGATTTATCATGCATATATTGGAAATCAATGAAGTTAGAAACTGGAGATAAGCTAGCTACAAGAAACTAGAAACTGGAGATAAGCTAGCTACAAGAAACTAGAAAATGAAGATAAGCTAGCTACAAGAAACTAGAAACTGAAGATAAGCTAGCTAAGAAACTAGAAACTGGAGATAAGCTAGCTACAAACGTGATAGAAAATTGGGTTAAATTAGATAGAACAGATTCTTTACAGAAAACATTCATACATTGAGGCTCATAATAAACAATTTTAGCCGTCTGAAAGCTTGCAAAGGCAGAGATATTCATCATTTTGCTAAATGGATCAACAATGTCCGGCATCATCGAGGAGCAAAGTGGAGGAAATATCGGAAAGCAAATCTCGACTATCGACTCATTGCTTATCATATGGTTCCACAAACAAAGTATTGTTTTTATAAAAGTAAAGTAATCATACGAATCAATGCTTTATAGTTTCTGTCAATTGGGGAGCAGAAAAAAGTCTTTTTATATCATTCGATATTCGGATAATAAGACGGCAATGTATGGAGCATTTATGCGACTTTTCAGAAGAGCACATATTCCATTGGGTGTAGCAAGAAGGGTACGTTTTAAAAGAAGTTTTCGATATGTAAATGAAAATTGAATTTAATAGAGCTTATCTGAAAGTAATAGATGCATTTTAGCATTTCTTTCCTCAAAATCTATCAATTATTTGTACAAAGTGGTCCAAAATTATCCAAAATTATCGCAATTCCTTTTCCTTTACGGAAAAGTAACTGGAAAGTGCTAAACGTCTTTCATAAGTGTCAAGTGTTCGATAGAGAATTGAAGTCCTTAATCTTAGCTTCATTTTTCTAGCACCAACTTCAAAGTCAGAGTTATACAGCTTATTTTACAAGCTTTCGAATGAGATCTTGTCCAGATCTTGTCCAGATCTTGTCCAGATCTTGTCCACTCTCTGGCAATGTTTCATTTTTGATGATTTTGATGCGAATTTCCTATGATTCCCTTATCAATCACTTCTCAACAGTTCATTGTTTGGTCCAAAATCTTCGCAATTCCTTTTCGATTTTGGATTTTGGACCAAACAATGAACTGTTGAGAAGTGATTGATAAGGGAATCATAGAAAGTGTGCAAATCTGGATCGAAAAAACTAATTGGTAATCTATTGATGGTTTGGTAGATTAATTGGTAACTAATTAGTAAATTAATTGGTAACTAATTAGTAAATTAATTGGTAACTAATAGGTAAATTAATTGGTAACTAATAGGTAAATTAATTGGTAACTAATAGGTAAATTAATTGGTAACTAATAGGTAAATTAATTGGTAACTAATAGGTAAATTAATTGGTAACTAATAGGTAAATTAATTGGTAACTAATTAGTAAATTAATTGGTAACTAATAGGTAAATTAATTGGTAACTAATAGGTAAATTAATTGGTAACTAATTGATAATTTTAGGCTCTTGGTCACTTGAGACATTCAAGCACAAGACATGCTTCTCAAAATGAGAAACGAGCGACACAATTGAAAGCCGAAATCGCGAAAACACCACATACTGTTGCCTTGATCAGAAGCATCTATAAAGAGGATTATCAGAATTTGAAGTTTCCATGAGATAAAGTGATTATTTCTTAGCACAGCACAGGTAATAGCACAGCTAAAAAGCACAGAAAAAGGCATAGAATGATATCTTCGAAAATCTTTGCATAAAACATTCGTTTCTCCAAACTTTCATTGCTTCATTTTCCTTTATTTTTTCGAAACTTTCAAGCAAATCTCTTATCAATCTTTTACTTTAAAATTCTTGATTCTATAAACATAAACACATATCAAATTTGTTCCAAAAGTCCAACAAATCAAGCATTTGTCTCAGAGCAATATCAACATCAAAATTAGAATAATTTATTGGTTTCATTGATTCATTGGTTCATTGGTTCATTGGTTCATTGGTTCATTGATTCATTGATTCATTGATTCATTGATTCATTGGTTCATTGGTTCATTGGTTCATTGGTTCATTGGTTCATTGGTTCATTGGTTCATTGGTTCAATTCATTGGTTCATCATCAATTTTTGTCTTTCATTTGTTAATTGATATCAATTTTGGTAATCATTAGATTTTTAGCCATTCCTTTGTCAAAAAATGAGACAATCTCTTTCATTTTGAATCCATTTCCTTTCATTCAGACTTTTCTAAAATCCTTGACAGTCTTTTTTTTCTAGAAAATCTGTTTACAGATTTACAGACTGATCAGAAACTCGTCCTTATATTCTAAGCCTCAAACTCTCTAGATAATGCTCTCTAGATAGACAATAGACTATGAACAGAATAAGTAGAAACTCTTAGAAATTTAATCATGAAAAGCTATTTCTCTAGATCAATCCTGCCTTTTAAAGGAAACAAAAGTAGACGGATAGGTAAAACATTCTTAGGTGGCTTCTGAAGAAAAGTTTCCAGTTCTTTACGCCCAAAATATGGATTAAGTTCAAGCTTTCACTGTTAGAATCTTGAATCATCTAGCAAATTTAAAAAATCAGCTAAACAGCTTATGATAGGTTTTATTATGGTTCAACGTGGATCAACGTAGTGTGCGTAGTTCCAACGTAGTGTACGTAGGTCCAACGTAGTGTACGTAGGTCCAACGTGGATCAACGTAGTGTGCGTAGTTCCAACGTAGTGTACGTAGGTCCAACGTAGTGTACGTAGGTCCAACGTGGTGTACATAGGTCCAACGTAGTGTACATAGGTCCAACGTAGTGTACATAGGTCCAACGTAGTGTACATAGGTCCAACGTAGTGTACATAGGTCCAACGTAGTGTACATAGGTCCAACGTAGTGTACATAGGTCCAACGTAGTGTACATAGGTCCAACGTAGTGTACATAGGTCCAACGTAGTGTACATAGGTCCAACGTAGTGTACATAGGTCCAACGTAGTGTACATAGGTCCAACGTAGTGTACATAGGTCCAACGTAGTGTACGTAGCTTCAACGTAATGTACATAGGTGCAACGTAGTGTACGTAAGTCCAACGTAGTGTACGCAGTGTACGCAGTGTACGTAAGTCCAACATAGGCTTTCATTTGTCAAAAAGGCTTAAGCCGTATACATATACACTTGTTAGGTGAAAGACTACGACAACAGATTTGGAACCTGAAAGATTTCAATCAAAAACTCTCATTGTTTCTTTATTTAATCCCCATTATCTCAAAAATCTCAAAAAACCTTTTTTTTAAATTGTTTTTTGCAAGTTTGTTGATCATAAATTTCCTCTCTGGTGCAAGTCAAGGTCATTTTTCGAAAAACGCGAGTTTATTTTCTAAAAAATCTCAATGTTTCTCTCATTCATTTGATAAAAATATGCTAAAGATTATTCTGATTTTACTTTTTATTAGCAGGTTTTTGCAAAGGTTACAAAGGTTCTTCTTAAAGGTTTGAAAAGTTTAAATTTTTAGTCTACGAGCTCAGTATGACTACAGAGGACGGGACTATGTTCGACAAAAAGCAGAGAGACTTATCTTTGGATTGGCAATGGTTCGTTTTGTTTGGATAATTGTCGTTTTGCGATTTATTTCGTTGATTTTATGTTTACCAGATTCCCCAAATACTATTCAAATCTTTGAAGGAACACAGGAAGACGGTTGACGTCTGGGAATTGAATTGTTTACTTTAATTGCATATCTGATTTAAGCCAAATCTAGCTTAATGATCTAGCTTAATGATCTAGCACTACGCATGATCTAGCTTAATCGTAAGCTTTTGCAGCTTTTTATGACTCTTAACTAGACATGTCTATCAAGAATTATCAATCTAGACATGTCTATCAAGAATTATCAAGCATTTTTGGTTGATAACGATCAATAAGATTTCTAGAGACTGCTTTTGCAAATTTATTATCAAAACGAAGCTAGAAGAATGGGCTTTCATTTGTAAAAAAGCCTTAAACCGTCTACATCTACACTTGTTAGGTGAAAGACAACGACATGTATCGCATCATGGACGAGGCATTGGCAGCCGGTTATCGGACCTTTGATACAGCGCAATTGTACGGTAAATTCATCAACAACTAGCAGCTAATCCCATAAAATCAAGGAAATGAAGCTGCTGTCGGTCAAGCTCTGAATACTCTTTTGCCAAAGTATAGACTAAACAGGTTGCTTTCTAGAAATCTTATCTCCAAAATCAAAACAAAACAAAATCCAGGCAAGATGTCTTTGTGGTCTCAAAAGTACAACCACCAAATCAAGGAGACAGAGCAGATCCTTCAATCGTCGAGTTTATTGCAATTCTTTGAGTTTCTTTTCATTATTTATCTAGATCATTACGGAAATTAAACCTTGGATACATTGATCTCATGCTCATTCATTGGCCAAATGCGAGTCCTGATAACCCAAGAAATCCCTATCATCATCGAATGGAAAGGAGGAAGACATGGATGGCTTTGGAAAAGTATTATGGTAAGGATTGACAAGGATTTTCTTTTATTAGGTTGTCCAATAAGTAATGCGTGTTACTTATTTCGAAACTATTGCGAAATCGCTATATGAAGTTCTAAACCCCGGTCAAATGGTCACTGCTGACTTGTACTCTCAACAATTGGAAAGAGTGCAGCAAGCTCTTTGTCGTAAAGGAGAGGACACTTCGATGATTAAACTGCAGTTTGACAATGCTCGTCCGCATATTGCAAAAATCGCACAGCAGAAGATTGAGAAGCTTGGATGGTCGACTGTCCCACATCCGCCGTATAGTCCAGACCTGGCTCCATCTGATTTCCATTTGTTCCGTTCGATGGCGCACGCTCTTGGAGAACACAAGTTCAAAAGTGTTGACGAGGTGCAAAAATGGCTCGACGATTTCTTCTCATCGAAACCAGCTTCATTCTATTATGACGGACTTCACTCTTTGCTCGGACGATGGAGAAATGTTGTTGATTGTTGTGGAGAATATATCGATTAATAAAGTTCTCTTTTGTTAATTTTGTGATATTTTGAAAATCGTGTCAAAACACGCATTACTTATTGGACAACCTAATAGATTACAAGAAAATATTAGACTACAAGATTCTCCTCCTCTTTTAGATCATTTCTTCAGCTTTTTATGACTCTTAACTAGGCATGGCTATCGAGAATCTTATCAATAATATCAATACAATAATATCTTAACAATAATCAATACTATCAAAATATCAATATAATAATATCTTATCAATAATCAATATTATCAAAATATCAATATTAATATTATCAATTATCAATCTTATCAAGCATTTTTGATTGATAACGATTGATAAGATTTGTAGAGACTTTCTTTAAGCCCTAAGTTTGGATTGAATTGGCCAATTGATTCAAAAAAATACTTCCAATGTGAGTGTTTATTTAGCTCTCGGCTTGCTTAAAGCTATTGGAGTCTCGAACTTTCATCCACATCATTTGAATGATCTGTTGAGCTATGCAAAGGTTGAGCTATGCCAATCTTGATACAAATCTTTCTGATCTTCCAGGTTTTTCCGGCAGTCGATGAATCGGAGAGTAGTTTGAGCTATCAAACGAACGATTTATTGGAGTATTGTGCAAGAAAAGGGATCTTTTTTTGGGTAATGGCTGACTGTAATGGCTGGCTGTAATGGCTGACTGTAATGGCTGACTGTAATGGCTGGCTGTAATGGCTGGCTGTAATGGCTGGCTGTAATGGCTGGCTGGCTAAGAAATCAAAGAATTTAACCGAAAAAAACTATTTCTAGAAATTAACTGTTCACTATTCAAGTAAAGATCACCTCTACGACTTTATAAACAAATTTTCTAGGCTTACACTTGTCAACTACGTCACGATCAAGCGAATCTACTCAATATTGTTTCGAAATTCACAAAAATCGCTAACAAATACAAGATCACACCGAAAATGCTTGAGTACATCTATGCATTGAATCGAGGAATGGGGTAAAACAAAGCACTTTCAGATATCTTCAGATATTTTGAACACTTTTCAGCGTTGTTATGGGAGCCTCATCTCCAATTCATATCAAAGAAAATCGAGCTCTGTTGAATTATGTAAGTCTTACTCTTCTTAACCTCTAAACTTTCATTTTTAATTTGAAAGAAATCATGAACTTTGTTGTCGATTCGCTCTGTTCAGAAACTACAACCGGAAGACATGACAGCATTGACTCTACCAAACGGAACAACAGGTCGAAAATCGATTGCATGTGGAAATATCAATCTGTCGTCGATTCTTTAACTATTTTTCTCAAGCTAAACAATCATTGAAACAAGTTTTGGCGATTCATTTCTTGTTTATTCCCTTCGAGAGACTTTGTCTTACATTCAACTACTTTAATATAAATCTGTTCTGTCTAAATTGTTTATATGAATAGAACATAAGTAAAGTGAAATCAATGGTTTGCTAACAAATAATCAGTCAACTAGGCTGCTAGTAGTTTGTGGTAAGGTAATTTGTTCTCAAAAAAAGTTTGGAATCAAAAGAACGACAAGAACGACAAGAACGATAAGAACGACAGGAACGACAAGAACGACAAGAACAACAAGAACAACAAGAACAACAAGAACGACAAGAACGACAAGAACGACAAGAACGACAAGAACGACAAGAAGTTTCATTGTCATTTTGTCCAACGCTCAGGGTGCACCACTCTATTAGAGAGGATACGGTATCTAAAACCAGCTACGCAGTCTAGCTTCTCAAATCTACAGTAACTCTGGCCACATTCTCGTCTATTAATTCATGTGACATTTGTGACTACCGTATTTTCTCTAATAGTAGTGCACCCCAGAGTCGAGTTGGTGACTATTTTACGGCTTCCAAGCTTTTGCAGAAGCTCAACACTCTAATTCCCCACAAGATCTCATCGTCAGCTACATTTTCCGACCCCACATCAATAGGTTCTGATAAGCGCTTTTCGAGATTTCGACCAATTTAGGCAACGCTCAGGGTGCACTACTACAGTGCGGTGAAAAATCATACGCCATCCCCTAAATTTCAATTTTCTGCGGCTCCCGTGCCAGTGACAAAAAAAAACTGAAAACGTAGTTAGATTCAGGACAAAAAATAACCCTTAAACCCCAAAAATCGTCGACATGGCATGAATAGGTTCTCACATGAATTAGTTCTCACAAGGGTCGCATTTGGTTCCTGTTTGGTTCCTCTTTGGTTCCTATTGCGTTCCTAATTGGCTCTTATTTGGTTCCTATTTGGTTCCTATTTGGTTTATATTTGGTTTATATTTAGTTCTCACAAAGGTCCTATTTGTTTCCCAATTGGCTCCTATTTGGTTCCTATTTCGTTATAACAAATATAACAGCCAAAAAAACGAAAATTCGTCCGGTGCAAAACCATACGCCACCCCCCCCCCCCAAAATTTTGGTGTCGTTGTTGCATTTTTGTTCATTTATAAACCGCTTAGCTTTTAACTTCATCGTTTGGTTTCTAATCGTTCCTTTTGGTTTTCTATATCCTTTTGCGATTCTAGTTACAACAAAACCCTATCTAACATGTGTCATCAATTTACTCGCTAGAAGAATGGAAAAGAGAACTTCTGCAATTTCTTGGGTCAGTCCATTAGATATGAATGGAAGGCATCGATCGTCGTGAATAAATCGTGGCGTTAATGTTCATTTCATCCCGTTACCGTTCATCTTGTTGAAAAGCAAAAAAACTTTTATTCCGTCGTATAGACTGAATGAAGCAATGATTTGAACTCGGGATTTGAGCATTTTGAGTAAATTGGGCGGCTTGAAATCATCTATAATCTGTAATCTATAATGTACCTCACATACTTAAATCATTGAAATATAAAATAACAGCTTATAACAATAAGATTACAACCTGGGTAACACACAAAAACCCACAGAAACAAAACTCTACAAAACAAAACAACAAAACATCGACGCTGTTTTGGTCGACGCTGTTTTGGTCGACGCTGTTTTGGTCGACGCTGTTTTGGTCGACGCTGTTTTGGTCGACGCTGTTTTGGTCGACGCTGTTTTGGTCGACGCTGTTTTGGTCGACGCTGTTTTGGTCGACGCTGTTTTGGTCGACGCTGTTTTGGTCGACGCTGTTTTGGCGGCGCTGTTTTGGCGGCGCTGTTTTGGGTACGGCGCTGTTTTGGGTACGGCGCTGTTTTGGGTACGGCGCTGTTTTGGGTACGGCGCTGTTTTGGGTACGGCGCTGTTTTGGGTACGGCGCTGTTTTGGGTACGGCGCTGTTTTGGGTACGGCGCTGTTTTGGGTACGGCGCTGTTTTGGGTACGGCGCTGTTTTGGGTACGGCGCTGTTTTGGGTACGGCGCTGTTTTGGGTACGGCGCTGTTTTGGGTACGGCGCTGTTTTGGGTACGGCGCTGTTTTGGGTACGGCGCTGTTTTGGGTACGGCGCTGTTTTGGGTACGGCGCTGTTTTGGGTACGGCGCTGTTTTGGGTACGGCGCTGTTTTGGGTACGGCGCTGTTTTGGGTACGGCGCTGTTTTGGGTACGGCGCTGTTTTGGGTACGGCGCTGTTTTGGGTACGGCGCTGTTTTGGGTACGGCGCTGTTTTGGGTACGGCGCTGTTTTGGGTACGGCGCTGTTTTGGGTACGGCGCTGTTTTGGGTACGGCGCTGTTTTGGGTACGGCGCTGTTTTGGGTACGGCGCTGTTTTGGGTACGGCGCTGTTTTGGGTACGGCGCTGTTTTGGGTACGGCGCTGTTTTGGGTACGGCGCTGTTTTGGGTACGGCGCTGTTTTGGGTACGGCGCTGTTTTGGGTACGGCGCTGTTTTGGGTACGGCGCTGTTTTGGGTACGGCGCTGTTTTGGGTACGGCGCTGTTTTGGGTACGGCGCTGTTTTGGGTACGGCGCTGTTTTGGGTACGGCGCTGTTTTGGGTACGGCGCTGTTTTGGGTACGGCGCTGTTTTGGGTACGGCGCTGTTTTGGGTACGGCGCTGTTTTGGGTACGGCGCTGTTTTGGGTACGGCGCTGTTTTGGGTACGGCGCTGTTTTGGGTACGGCGCTGTTTTGGGTACGGCGCTGTTTTGGGTACGGCGCTGTTTTGGGTACGGCGCTGTTTTGGGTACGGCGCTGTTTTGGGTACGGCGCTGTTTTGGGTACGGCGCTGTTTTGGGTACGGCGCTGTTTTGGGTACGGCGCTGTTTTGGGTACGGCGCTGTTTTGGGTACGGCGCTGTTTTGGGTACGGCGCTGTTTTGGGTACGGCGCTGTTTTGGGTACGGCGCTGTTTTGGGTACGGCGCTGTTTTGGGTACGGCGCTGTTTTGGGTACGGCGCTGTTTTGGGTACGGCGCTGTTTTGGGTACGGCGCTGTTTTGGGTACGGCGCTGTTTTGGGTACGGCGCTGTTTTGGGTACGGCGCTGTTTTGGGTACGGCGCTGTTTTGGGTACGGCGCTGTTTTGGGTACGGCGCTGTTTTGGGTACGGCGCTGTTTTGGGTACGGCGCTGTTTTGGGTACGGCGCTGTTTTGGGTACGGCGCTGTTTTGGGTACGGCGCTGTTTTGGGTACGGCGCTGTTTTGGGTACGGCGCTGTTTTGGGTACGGCGCTGTTTTGGGTACGGCGCTGTTTTGGGTACGGCGCTGTTTTGGGTACGGCGCTGTTTTGGGTACGGCGCTGTTTTGGGTACGGCGCTGTTTTGGGTACGGCGCTGTTTTGGGTACGGCGCTGTTTTGGGTACGGCGCTGTTTTGGGTACGGCGTTGTTTTGGGTACGGCGCTGTTTTGGGTACGGCGCTGTTTTGGGTACGGCGCTGTTTTGGGTACGGCGCTGTTTTGGGTACGGCGCTGTTTTGGGTACGGCGCTGTTTTGGGTACGGCGCTGTTTTGGGTACGGCGCTGTTTTGGGTACGGCGCTGTTTTGGGTACGGCGCTGTTTTGGGTACGGCGCTGTTTTGGGTACGGCGCTGTTTTGGGTACGGCGCTGTTTTGGGTACGGCGCTGTTTTGGGTACGGCGCTGTTTTGGGTACGGCGCTGTTTTGGGTACGGCGTTGTTTTGTTCGGCGCTGTTTTGGGTACGGCGCTGTTTTGGGTACGGCGCTGTTTTGGGTACGGCGCTGTTTTGGGTACGGCGCTGTTTTGTTCGGCGCTGTTTTGCGGCGCTGTTTTGGGTACGGCGCTGTTTTGGGTACGGCGCTGTTTTGGGTACGGCGCTGTTTTGGGTACGGCGTTGTTTTGTTCGGCGCTGTTTTGGCGGCGCTGTTTTGGGTACGGCGCTGTTTTGGGTACGGCGCTGTTTTGGGTACGGCGCTGTTTTGGGTACGGCGTTGTTTTGTTCGGCGCTGTTTTGGCGGCGCTGTTTTGGGATAGACCTGCATAAATCAGTGTTGAGAAAAATGTAACTGTGATGGGCCTGATGGAAACCGCAGTTATTGGCAGAATTTAAGAAAAGAAAAGATTAGCTTTTCGCGAAGAAACTATAATTTGTGTGTCCATATAATTTTGTGGGGTAGTGTATTTCTAAAAGTACAAACTTATTTGTACCCTACCTGTAAAAGAAGCATCCAAAAAGCAAACTTTTGTGCTTTCAGCGTTTTAACTGATTGTTGAGAGGCGGCTTTCTTGCTCAAATACAATAAAACTAGAGTTTTGTTTCTGTGGGTTTTTGTGTTTGCGAGAGAACAATGAGATTTTGCTCGACTGCCTATTTTCTATTTTCTTCTCTCTCTATGTCTCTATTTTTTTCTAGATTGGCGATTTCTAGAGGCGAAATTGGGAACAAGAACGACGAGGGCAATACAGAGTAATGTTATCTGATTACCGTAGCTTTAGATCTGTAATACTAGACCTACACTCTTCTTCTAGCGATCAGATCTTACTGTAATCTTAAAGACGTAGAGATTACGGTACCTGAACACAAATGTTAAAGACACGGCTTCACTGAGGCAAATATTTGCCTTAGAGCCTGACTACCGTAACCGATCCTTTATATCCGTAGATCTTTATAATGTTTAATAAATCCTACTGTAATCAACGATGCATCTGAGTGACTGTAGCCTTTAGCTACATCGGCAGTCCGGATTACGGTAATCTAAACTGGCTAGTCAAGAACTAGAGCCTAGAGCCTGCCACAACTACCAACTACGAAACGTGAAAACAGCCATTTTTTGGCTCTGCCGCTCTTTACTAAAATAGCTGTAAAAACTTTTCGAAAAGAGATATCTCAAAACGGTTTTTACCAATCGATCCGTCTTGAATTCAGCTTTAGGATGAGCTATAAAACGTCAAAATTGGACAAA